TGTTATATATGCATTACTGTCAAGGCATGCTGGGTTCATTGTGTCTGATCAGCAAAGAATTGAACAGAACACAAAAATAGCAAGCAAGAAGCAGGTTTATTCAAAAGCAACAGGGATAGAGAGATAGACTTCTCTGAAGAGAAGGGGCCCCAGAGCTGCTAATCTGGTGGGAGACTTTTGGCCTGTTCTTTTCATGATCCCTGGAATTTCCTCCTTTCCTTATCTCCTCCCTGTTCATGCTCTTCACACCATTATTGATGAGTGCCTTCTCTGTCCTTGCCTCTGTTTTAGTTTCTCTATTGGATCCCCCCTGCCCGGCCTAGGAGCGCAAGTATGGAAGTGTCTGGCTGATCGGGTGTCCCGCTTGTGTCCACAAGCACTGTCATCAGGAAGTTGACCTCATCACAAGACCTTCTCCCTGCTCCTTTGTTCTCCCTCTTCCTCTGACCTCCTCACTCAACGTCTTGCCCTGGATGCCTGAGCCCTTCTCCGTCTCCCTCATCTGCTCTTGCATGCCACTGGTGTATAAGCCAATCAGCATCTGCATAAAGACTACATTTTTGCAATCCTGTCCTGGTGTATTCCCTATCTTTTACTATGTTTTGAGGCTTTCTTTTTCCTGGTTATAATCTATAACTGTTTTTCTACTTATAATTGATCATGTTGCATCAATCCTTCCCCAAGGATCCAGGATTCTGAGGGCAGGTCATGTGGTCCCAGGAGGTTGTCTGTTATGGTATCTGTTGTTCTATTATCTGCATATATGTAATACCTGAATACTTTAAATTCCCATTGTTCACCCTTATGTCCATTTTGATAAGACTAAACAAAACAAACAACCCCCCCCCCCAAATACTGCAGGTACCTCTTCTATTGGTGTTCTCTATATTAATAGGTTTACATTTTTAGGATTCTTTAAATCTAATTTTATATCTTTTGAGGCTGCTATTGAAAACTTTCTTTTAACATCCTTCTCTGTTGGGTACCATAGATCCCTGGAGGCAAGCTCCATTTTAGGGCATTTCCTTTTTACTGTATCCTTTCTCTCTCATCCCAGAGGTAACATGTTTCTTAGCTAATTTTCTTGCCCACTCAAATAATCTCTTAATAGAGTATAACTCTATAGTCCACCTAACAGATAAATAATCACAGATGTGTAATATTAGGTTTGCTTTTCTTTCTGCTTTGTATTTTTTTGTTGTTGTTGTTGCTGACCAGTTTCTCATGAGATGAAACCCTGCAATTTAGACAATCTGCCTTTCCACCTCTCCAAAATTAATCTCTGGATCTGCAGAGATCAGGGAAGTGCCCTCCTTATAGTGACTGAGCTAGGTTTCACCCCAAATGGCTTGTAACATGATGTGTCTTTGAATTGCAAAGTGAGCTTTTAGTCTCTGTTCACAAGTCTTTGGTATGGGTGGAAAATTTTATCTATATTGCCAAATGACATAATTTATCTGAAAAAAATTGTGTTCTTCCAATTATTTTGCCAATGATTTGTTTACTTATTGGGTTCTTTCTTTAACAAATGGAATCCTGCCAGCTACACCAATTGTCATGAGGGTGCTATGTCATTAACATAGACCAAACAAAAATTTTGAGCCTTTCTACAATATCATAATTTATAGAATAACAATAAATTCACAAGGATACCCCACTTTCATCAGGGGCAGTTCACTGAATACTTATGGGTCACCTAGTAGTCATAAGCTGTGCAATCACAGGTTCTTTTATTCCAATCTTAATTTCTAATATGTATAACACTCAAGTCACAGATCACACTTCACACAGTTAGAGCTGCTTAAGGCTGTAATATCTGTATTACTGTCTAGGCATACTGGGTTCATAACAGAAAGGCTATGAAAGGGTTAAAGTGACTAGAGGTTCAGAAGGGGTTCAGAAGGCTGAAGGAGAGCAAAGGCAGAGAGCAGATATGAATGCAGAGTCACTGTAGGTGGTCAGATAAGATTAGGAGCAACCTGAAGAATTTATATTATTCAGGGCACAGAACTTCAAAGCACAGAAACTTATTGTGGGACAAGTTTCTGGATGAGGGACAAAAGGACATCAACAAAGGGCAGTTCCACGTGTCAGCTTGAGATATTAAAGTGGGACTCCTGGGGTCTTCACTTTGCTAAAGCCCTATTTTTGCTGAGGCCATTTACCTGGGCAAGGTTCCTTTGAGTGACCAGGTGATGGGTCAGGGTGCCTCTCCTTTTATGAGTCTGCAGTGAGGGTGTTGTATGATATGGTGGTCTGGTGTTTTTGATAAGCTTGTGGGCCTGGTTTTAGCAATATGAGTGATACACCCATGCATTCATGTGCTTCTGATTAATTGGATGAGTTCACAGGTGGTCATTCTTATTAGCACGATTAATTTATTTATCAGTCTGTGCCTTATGGTGGTGCCAGGCAGATGGTTGTTGTTTATTTACATAAACAAGATGGGGAGTCACTCCACCTCAGCACTGCAACTCAAAATGGAGTCACTTAGGGCAAGCTATTGTTTTACAAAGGTTTAGGCACAGCCTGAAAACTGCTTTACTTCGAATTGAATCATGGAGTAACAGAGCAGAGCACAGTCTGCACCCCCCACATCCCTCCTTCCTTTCTTCTTTCCTTTCTTTCTTTTTTTTAAGGGCAGGAGTAAAATAACTATTTTTATTTAGTCACTTATTTATTTGTTCTTAAGCAACAAGTAACAATTATGTCTATTTATGGTATTTAGCAGATACTCATGTACCTATCTTTCCAAGTGGCACATTTTCACAGGGACAATTTGGGATTACAGTGGCCACTTCTAGAAAACTTTGATATGAATAAGATTGTTCATTTGAGATGCTCCTTGGAACATCTTTTTAAATTCCATCTTGCTGAAAGCCTGCTAGAAGCAAAGCGAAATTCCAACTGTCCAATGGTGTGCTTTCTTTTTTAGTGTAAGGAGGCTTCCAGACACAATTCACACTCTAAAATGACCTCTCTCAAGGACCCTTTAAGACCACTGAAAACTTTTAGAATTTAAAACAGATTCTCATGACTCCATCTGGATCCTGCTTTCCTTCTTGTTTGTATGATTCCTTTCCTTTTCCAGATTTCAATTGGTATGTACGATTCAAACCCGGATCATATTCAGATCTTTAGACCATTTAAAAAGACTTTTCAATCCCCAGGGTGAAAAGAAAAAGCTATGTTGAAAAACTAAGAATTGTACTGGCAATTGTCTTAGATGACAGCTTTCTAATATTAAACATGTTCAGTATACATTTGAATTTATAAAGAATAGAGGTTTATTTAGCTGACAGTTCTTCAGGGCCAGGAGTCTAATAGTATGACACTGTATTTGCTTGGCATCTGGTGAGGTCCTACCTGGTGTTTCCTAAGGTAAAGAGGTCATCTCAAGGCGAAACACACCCAAACAGATTTTGGTAAGACCCAGAAGATAATAAACTTGGTTTAAAAAATAGAATTGACATAATCCTGAAAAGGATTGGCAACTTAATTTTTAAAGAGAAATTTAAAAAATTTAAACAAAGACATCTGTCAATATTTTAAATACAGGGATTATGGGAAAATTAATAACCCCATCCTCACTAAAGGGGGATAAAATTTATAATATGTGTTGTCTTTTTAAATTCCATCTTGCTAAAAGCTTGGAGTTCAAAAGAAAAAAATAGGAGGTGGGTATAATTGTGAGTTAAACTAAAATAAATGCATAACATCATTCCAAAGCCACTTTACATATACTCTTATTCTGTAGTCATTATAAGAAATAACAGCAAATTAAAACTATGTTTATTGATAAAAATTCTATGTCTTTGTGTTATTAATATATTGTTCAGGAATTGTATTAAAGTTTACTGATGAACTCAAGTTTTTTCTAAGGTCTCAAAGCTGATTAAAGGTCAATCACAGTTTTATGTAACATGTTAAGCATTTATGCTTTGTAGCAGTATGACAATTTCACAATATTAAGCCCTTTTAAAAGACATCTTCTAGATATCTTTAGATTTAAAAAGTTGAATACAAAGAAATTTTGGCAGAACTTGAGTCTTTCAAATTTGGTTATTAAAACAGAGGTTCATAAAATATTTTTAATGGTCCCTGTGGTACTCTTGACAAATAGAAAAATCTTAAGACAAATTGAGTGAACTGAAAATATTGATTTAGAGACAATGTAGTATCTTCCCCCAGATTTTACCATTTAAAAATTTTATTAGCAAAATATTTTAGTTTCTACAAGACTGAAGTTTAATTTATTAAGATTTAAACTTTCTAAATTTCTTATGTTTGTCAAGTAAACATAAGATGATCAAACATAAAAATTGTATTCAGTGAATTGAAATTGCCATAGCAGATGTCTTTTAAAAGGGCTTAATATTGTGTAACTGTCATACTGCTACAAAGCATAAATGCTTAATGTGTTACCTAAAACTGAGATTTCCAGATCCTTCCTAGCTTTGAGACCTTAGATAAATATTGAGTTCATCAGTAAATTTTAATAGAATGCCTGAACAACATATTAGTAACAAAAAGACACAGAACTTTTGTCAGTAAACATAGTTCTAATTTGCTGTTATTTCTTAGAATGACTACAGAATAAGAGTATATATAAAGTGGCTTTGGAATGATATTATGTGTTTATTTTTTGCCAATTTTTACTTGAGATAATAATGTAAAATGTGTGTTTACTGAAAAAAAAAAGAGTTTTCTGTTCCTTAGTTTTCTTTTGTATTTGAAGAAAACAGAATTGGTTATTTTGTGAAATATAGTAGCCAATGTAAATGGTTGAGTAGCCTAGGTACAATAGATAGAGAAAAACACAGAGACAGAATGAAATATATGATTTATGTACTTATCAAGGAAATTGTTGCAGATTATTGAGGTGGTAAATTCAGTATGATAAACATTTATTTCATATGCTTATAAAATTATGTTAAGAGTAATGTCAAAACTTTTATATTTATCATTTTTGTAGATTTATGTATCTTTATAAGTCTAAATACTTACATGCAAAGGAGAATTAGTAAAGTCTTTATTACTAATTGTTATATCAATGGTGAAATAAAAGAAGAAAAATTCCAATTTGGATTTTTTCTTTTTATGTCACAAGATAACTTTTTTGATAGGTGTGGTGGTAGAATCCTGTAATATCATCTACTTCGGAGGCTGAGGCAGGAGGATTGAAAGTTTAAGGCAACTTAGCAAGACCCTGTCTCAAAATAAAAAATAAAAATTAAAAAGGGCTGGGCACAAATCCTTCCCTCAGTTTTATACGCTAATAATGAATATTAATCTTGACTCTTGGCATCTCTTCCATTGAATCAGAGTTGCTTTCTCATAGTTTATGTTAGAAAGATGTTCAATAAACTAAAGCAAACCAAAATTTTAAAAAAGAGGTTGGGGGTGTAGCTCAGTGGTAGAACACCCCTGGGTTCAATCCCTAGTACCACCAAAATAATAAAATAAATAATAATAACAACTTTTCAAGATAGATTTTCTTTGGCCTTGATATTTCTCTTACATTATGAATTCCAGCTATCAACCTTAGGGAAAAAAAAAAAAAAACAGACTTTGCCTCCACATCAGAAAGTACTATGTACAACTATAATGCACCAGTAAAATATATAAAAAAAATCATATGACATAAAAGAAGTCTTTATTACTATTTCTCTTAAGTAACTGGCTGATGAATTACTTTTAAGCAAAGAAAATACCTTATCTGGGTAGCCTACAAATCTAATGGGAAAAATTTAAAAGTACTTATGATTTCATAAACCCTGCCAACTAGTCATTAACACACAAACTTCTTAGTGTGTGAGGGGTACTGGTTTTATCCCCATCACCACAAATAGAAACAAACAAAAAAATTCCTGCCAACTAAACCTGGTTCATAAGCAATGGGAACTACCCTATTGTCTGTTTGCAGAGTCATTATATCTATAGGAACTGGTTCACTTCATTCAGAATACACGTCTTCCCTTAGGGCCCAGTGATTGGTTCACTCCTTCTAAGATAAGCAATATTTGTATTCTCCATGCCCCACTGGAGAACTATTTCTTATATGGACACTGCCACCTGAAGCCCATTAAAGCAGTTTAAATTCATTCCTGGGGACTTTTATGGATGATCACATGGCCCTGAGTTTCTTCTTAGCTAACCAAAGGGAGTTTATGATACAATAAGATCCACTTGCATTTTTAAAAAATATTTTTAGTTTTAGATGGACACAATACCTTTATTTTATTTATTTATTTTTATAAGGTGCTGAGGATCAAACCCAGTGCCCCACGCATGCTGGGCAAGCGCTCTACCAGGAGCCCCAATCCCAGCTCCAGCCCCAACCCCAGCCCCTTGCACTTGCATTTTTAAAGCACACTTTTGAGACCTGGGGTTGGTGATGTAGGCCACTAAATGAATAATGTTTCTCCTATCTAATAATTTTTCTTGAAATAAGGTAATTGCCTGTATTGCAGTAGGTCAGTGCCTCTTGTCTAGATTCTTAAGTTTTACTATGTAGCTAGTTTTCATATCGGATGATCCAATAACTCATTCTATAATAGAAAGACCAGAAGGGACTGACATTTGTCCAAGTTAGACTATTCTGGTGAGCAGAATTTTGAAGATAAAAAGACCCGGACAGCAAAGCTTATCACCCCACCCAGATAAACTCAAAGAAAAATAGCAGCCCTGATACTTATTACCTGGTAGTTGACCTAATTTCTCTGACAAGGCCATAGTGTTCTCCTGCTGAACACAAATAATTTCACAGAATATCAGTGTTAGAAGAGGATTCTTCATGATGATGGTGGAATGGGAAAAGAACCAGGTCTGCTCCATAATGACACCTGACAGAGATCCCATGCAACCATAAAAATGATCAAATATTTAGCTAACAGGAATGGCTGCTGTTTTTTATCTCTCATGACAATCTAACTATATTCTGTTTCTTCAGCCTCCTGGAATAAAATTAACATACCAATTACTGCATTGCCCTCCATTTAGAGGGTAGACACACAAAATATACCTGTGTCTTTTGACTTTTCCCCAAATCACTTAACATCAATGCAATTTCTTTAACCAGCTCTTTCCATATCCCTCTTCCTGAGATACCCCATGGTTTTTCCTGCAGAGTGCCAGAATCCCTTGCTGTGGGAAGTTGATAAAATAAACTTCATTGCTAACATGTGTGTTCCTAGTGGTCCTTGATTGGTAGCACTGACAAATAATTGATTAAGTGGTGTAAAATGCCATGTCAAATACCTGACTTAGGGTATACTCAAGAGTTCAAGTCCAAAGTCTTCTCTTAGGCTCAAGGCAATCTTGCATTGTGAGCTCCTATAAAATTAAAAGCAATCTACAAGTATCCAATATATAATGGTAGACAGTGAACATTTCCATTTAGGAAAAAAGGGGGCATAGAAAGAAGGGATAGGAACAAAGCAAAACTGAAATTCAGCTGGGCAAACAAGTCCTGTAACTTGATGTTCAGCATCTGGGGCACATGGCATGGTGATGTTCTATCCAAAGGGCTTGTGTACCTCCATCCCTATGGCCGTGTTAGCTGCAGTCCAAGTGGCCTTTCTGTTGGCTTGTCTCAGCTTGATTCCTGCAGCCTTCCTTGGCAGACATTTCATTGTAATGGCATTTCTTAATTTTGGGGTCTCCACTGCAGCTTTGGCTTCCTCCTCAAATCTCCACACATGGCCCTCTCCGGGGCTGCCTGCAGGGACTCTGACCCTGCTGCACTCTGCCTGCTTCCCAAGCCTTCCTTTGATATCTTGGTGGGAGCCTCCATGGCCTCCTAACTCCAGCATCCTGCATTCCTACAGCACCGTGTGGTTGACACCAATTTCTGCTGCCATCTTGAGCAGTAGCCAAGCTTCCAAGGACCCTGGCTGTAGCAGCCTCTAAGTGCCTGGGTGGCTGAGCACATTGAGAAAACTTCCAAGGCCCCCTTGGGCAAGAAGGATTTTTCACTGGTCTCTTCTCATGAGAATTTTCACTTTTATTCCCTGGAGCCTGAGATGGATATGGTCTTGCCAGCTCCTGAGTTGCCCTCAGGCCATCTTTCTTATTGTCTCTAAACAAAGTCTTCAGGATTTCTTTTGTGCCAGTAATGTCTTTAACAACTGCAACTTCCTTAGCCCCAGTTTTACTCCTACCTTTCAAGTCCAAGTTTTTCAAATCTTTCTGCTCTGCTTTCTGCTTCTGAATATCAAAATAAACAAATAAAAGCTGCCAGAAATATCATGCAATTTCCTGAATGCCTAGGCATTTCTTCCACCAGATTAAGAAGTCCATCACTTAATATCAGCCTCACAGAAAGTATCAGAACTTGGGTAAAATGCAGATAACTTCTCAACCAGAATATAACATGAATGGCCTCTACTTTAAATTCCAATAGAATTCTCCTTCTCTGAACCCTCTTGAGCCCTGTCCTCACTGTCCAGGGTCCTATTGGCATCCTGGTCTTCTGAGCTCCCACCATAATCGGCCATTAAACTCCACTTACAACAATCTAAAGCATTTCCAGCTTGCACTGCTACACATCTCAAAATTTCTCCAACTGATTCCAAAAACCTCCAAAAGCTTCTGAATCACATGGTCAGTTTAGTCACAGCAATGACCCCACTTCTCAGTACCAATTTCTGTTTTAGTCAGCTTTTTTGCTGCTGTGACTAAAGGACCAGACCAGAACAACTGCAGAGGAAGAAAAGGTTTATTTGGGGTTCACAGTTTCAGAGGTCTCAGTCCATGGGCAGCTGGGTCCATTTCTTGGGGCTCAAGGTGACAGAATCTCATGGTGGAAGAGTGTGATGAAGGGAAGCAGCTCACATGACAATCAGAAAGCAGACAGAGAGACTCCACTCACCAGATACAAATATATACCCCACAGCCAAACCCCCAAAGCCTCACCTCCTCCAGCCACACCCCACTTACCTTTAGTTACCTTTCAGTTAATCCTATCAGGTGATTAATTCACGGATTGGGTCAGGACTCTCATAATCTAATCATTTTTTCTCTGAATCTTCTTCCATTGTCTCACATGTGAGCTTTTGGGGGACACCACACAGAAACCACAGCATGAACTTTCACTTTTTAAGGCTTCAGCTTCCCACTGTCAACTATAATCTGAAAATATTAAATGGAAAATTATAGAAATAATATTTCACTAGACTTAAATTGCACACCATTCTAAGTAGTGTGATGAAAATTTGTGCCATGCCACTCCATCCTGCCCAAGATGTTGACCACTGTACCAACACTGTATATGCTACCCACCCTTCTATAGTTTGGAGAAGTATAAATAAGATTTAATTTCCAGGAAAATAACGTGTATATTACAGAGACTGGACTAGGATAAAAAGGTTAATTTTCATCACAAGGATGTTCCAGTAAACTAGGGGGTAGGGTGAGGATGGGGGACAGAAATGGTTTTAAAATCTGGATTCATAATGCAGCACATAGTCTTCTGCCGCAGTCTGGCTGGGCACAAATAACTGGGCTTACCAGCCACTTGTAGGTTCAAACAGGAACTACTTTATTGCCCTAACCCAATGGGAACTCTCTAGAACTCCACAGAAACTCCATGAGAACTCAAAAGTAGCGGGGGTAGCAGGAGCCGCCTTATTGCCGGACAGCAGAGGTTTACATACACAACTGAATACACAGCTTGCCTCAATTCAGCATCATCCAGTTACAGCAATCAGTCATTATCTTAATAATTATACACAACCCAACTCAATTATCATCATCTTAATGGCTCGCTGGCGTTACTTCTCAACCACTCCTTCCGGCAAAATGCCAGGTGCCATCCTGACCTGGCTGTGGCTCTCAACAGTCTTCCTACCCATTGCCCCTTGCTCCTCTTTTCCCTCCCTATAATGTCCTCCAAAGTCCCCTGTGTTAATGGCTTGCTCCTCAGCCTGGTGCTATTGGGAGATGGCGAAACTTCAAGAGTCAGAGCCTAGTGGAAAGAAGGTGGGTCATTGGGGCTGTACCCTTCAAAGGATTTTATCCTGACCCCTTGCTATCTCTCTCTTTGCTTCTTAGATGCCACATGGTAAAAAGACCTCTTTCTTAGTGTATTCCTGTAACCAAAGAAAAGCCTAAATAAGTTCTCTTACTTCACTTGCTGTTAGTTTACTTTAAAGATCACTAATTTGGAGGTGATGCACCTGAGCAATATATTATTAGTCTCCCATTAGCTTTGCTGTGTTTGAAATCTCAACTAAAGCTGCCTAATGCATTAAAACTGTTCTTCAACAAAAGCCGATTTTTGCTTTCCTTTCATATTCCTATCCTAAACTTGTAACAAAAACTAAAAAGACATGAATCATAAAACTTACTAATCACTTTTTTTTCTAAACTTATAGAACCAAGGACATGTGATGACAGATAACATCAGAATATGAATCATCTAACACAAAACACAACTTGCTATCCCTATTTTTAAACTAAAAGCAGAAGTATAGATAAGGCTTAATTTCCAGGAAAATAATGTGTTTATTACAGAGACTGGACTAGGATAAAAAGGTTGATTTTCATCACAAGGGTGTTCCAGTAAACTGGGGAGGGTGGGGTGGGGATTGGGGGCTGAAATGGTTTTCAAGCCTGGATTCATAATGCAGCACATAGTGTTCCTACCCATTGTTCCTTGCTCCTCTTTTCTCTCCCTATAAAAGCCTTTTGTATTCCTGCATTTCCAAAGATGGTCTTTGTTTTGGGGGTGATGTTTCCCTCTACCTTCTCAGGGCTAGCCCTTGAATAAACTTTATTAACTTTCTCCCAACTCTCTTCTCCCAAATAGAGGCTTTTGAATGGCAAGCAGATGGAATGGGGTCTGGTAGCACTCCCACCACAATGTATTGTGTCACCATAGACCAAAAGCAACAGGGCCAGGTGACCATGGATAAAAACCTCTAAGATTGTGAGCCAGATGGAATTAACTTTGGAAAATCGGATTTACACAGGAAATTGATACCAGAATTCAGGTGTTGTAATTACACCTGAAAATGTTGTTCAATAGCAAGAAGAGTTTGGAAAAGTTTGGGCAAGCAGGCTAGTAAAGTCTAGAATGCTGTAAACAGAAATTAATGGGTGATTTTTGGTGAGAACACAGAAGACCAGAATGTTGTTAGAAACATGGACATTAAAGGTTATGCTCATGAGAATTTAGATGTAAATAAGGACTCGATTAGAAATTGGGCTAAAGACCACTTATTTTACTCTGTGGAAAAATTTGGCTGCATTATGTCCATGTCCTGAGACTTTATTGGAGGCTATATGTAAAAGTGATGAATTAGCTTATCTACTAGAAGAAATTTCAATTATGGCCCCAAAGCACAAGAGTAATGATGCTGGATATTCAGATAGATCAAAGAGAATCTGTAAAGTACTTCCTTTAAGTGAAAAGGTAAAAGTTTATCAGATATATATATATATATATATATATATATATATATATATATGTGTGTGTGTGTGTGTGTGTGTGTGTGTGTGTGTGTGTGTGTAAACATAATTTATATAGAGCCTGGTACTATATATCTGCAGTTTCAAGGCATCTACTGGGGATCATGTAATATATCTCCTACAAATAAGGAAGGGCTACTTTATTTGAAGATGGTGATTTGTGGAGGTAATTAAATTTAGATGAGGTCATGAGAGTTAGGTCTTCATAATGGGCTTAATTCTTTATAAGAAGAGACCAGAGAGAGCTTCTCTCCCTCTCTATTCCACTCTTTCTTTCTCTCCCTGACCCCCTCCAATGTTGAAGTTTTCAGAAATATGAACGAATAAACTCCCTTATAGTTTAAGAAAATTTAAGATTGATCTCTGTTAGTTGCCAACAAAACATTTTAATGAATAGAGGCCAGATTGATTTCCTTCTTTTTTTTTCAATTTCTTTTTGTAAAAAAAAAAAGAAAAAGAAAAACAAGAAAGAAAAAAAAAGAAAAGAAAAAGAAAAAAGTAAACATAAGTTCTCAAAGTATCAGTAAGTTTGATTATCTGCATGTATTGATGAAGTTCAAAGGATAGCCATGCTTAGGAGTTCTAGGAAGACCTGGGAAAAAAAAGATAAACCCAGGTTGAGAAATAGATTTGTTCATCTCTCCTCCCTCCCCCAGCTCCTCCCCACAGCTGTCCTTTCTTTAGACCTTAGATCACCTTGTCAAATAAACTCTCCCTGTCCTATACAGAATCACTCTTAGAAAGCTGAATCCTGAGACTCTCTTTCCATGATGTACCTCAGTGCTGCAAATCACCGCATACCTCTAAGCGATGGAAACAGCATTCCCATCATTGGACTTGGGACTTTCTCAGAACCAGCATTGGTAAGTTTCTCTTTCTCTCTGTTTTTTTTTTTTAAACATTTAACTAATGAATAATTTGTAATTGATTTTGAGTCGATATCATTGATTGTCTTTATAAAGAAAGCAACTTCCAAGGACTGCTGCCCTTTGCCTAAATGGGAATCAAACCAAGGGTTACACTGTATCTGCTCATGGTTAACTAATTTAGATTAGAAAATGGTATTTTTTTCTTTCTTTACTGATATTCATCTGAATGCTAATAACTAGAGTGAGCTAAGACATATCAAATTTGTGAGTTATGATTTATGGAGTTTTTTTTTTTAAAGGTTATATTTAAGAATTTTTAGTTCAGGCTAACAAATCTTTAGTAATTACCTGCCATGCACTGAGCAATAGTCTATAGAAGCTTCAAATATGCAGAAAACACATCTCTGCTATCTAGGCATTAAACAGTCTAATGGAGGGTGCCATTTCTCCAACAACTAAACAAAGGTCAGATCTCTGTTAACAATGGAACTGTAAACAGTGTATCTGTGAAAACAGAAAAGAATGAAATTTGACCATGAGGATTGAAATGGGTTTCCTTTAAAACATGGTAAATTTCTGCTGAGAAGAACAATTCTTCATTACAGTTAACATTTACTGCCTTCTGTCCTGTTAACCATCTTTCTGACCTGTGACAAAATGCCTGAGATAATCACCTTACACAGAGGGAAGATTTATTTTGGTTCATGGTTTCAGAGATTTCAGTGTATGGTTGCTTGGCCCTGTCACTTTGGGCCTGTGCAACAGGAGAACATAACAGCTGGGTATATGTGCCAGAGCAGAGCTGCTTACCTCTTGGCAGCAGGAAGCAGAGTCAGAGAAAGAGCTTGGGCTCCCAATAGCCCCATTAAGGGCACACCCTCAATGAACTAACTTGCTCTTACTAGTCTTTCCTCTTAATGGTTCAACCTTCTCCCAACAGCTCTCCAGGCTGGTGACAAAGCCTTTAGCACATGGTCTTTGGGGAACATTTGAGATCTAAACCTTAGCATATGTGTAGAAATGCCATTGAAATCTGAATGATCATGTACGATTAAACTCTACAAGCTGAGTGTGAATTAGCTAGGCAGAGAGTCAGAGCTGAGGAAATATGGGAAGTCTGGAGATATAGGACATACGATGTGTCCAGGCAAAGCCATAGAGCTGCAACATGGAGTTAAGAATGGAGGAGACGGAAGGTGAATATGAAAAATTTGAAAAATTTTTGAAAAAGTTGAGACTGGAATATGTGCAGAAGAGTTCATGTCATTGTATAGAGCTGAGAAATCATCTAGAGCTTAGGGGCAGAGGACTAGCATCCCAGGATCTGTTTTTGAAAGATATTCCAGGTGGCAGCAAACAGAATGGAAGTCAGAGGAGTAAAACCAAACTCTCGGTGCCATGAGTAGTTCGCTCTTGTATCACAACTCCACATCCACTGTAACTGCCCACGCCCTTTGTTGTTGTTGTTGTTTTGTTTAGTTTGGGTTTTTTTTGGTAATGCAAAGGAAAATCATTCATGTAGTAGTTTTAGGTCCTTGATCTTTGCCTCTTCTTTCTTTGCCTTTGTCTCTGACCTTGTCCAAAATCTTGGCTCCAACCAACATATATACAGAGATTACCAATCCATACTTAATATTCTGTTTGCTATATCTTCTCCATACAGCTATGGATTGGCTCTATCAGAATCCCCTGGGACACTCTGAACATACAGATCCCTGGGCCTCATCCCCAATGTCCTGAATCTGGATCTCTAGGGGTAGAGATTAAAAATCTTGGGGCTGGGGATGTGGCTGACATGCGTGCGGCCCAGGTTCGATCCTCAGCACCACATACAAACAAAGATGTTGTGTCCGCCGAAAAACTAAAAAATAAAATAAAATAAAATAAAAAGAATCTTCACTTAACAAGATCCTGGGGTAATTCTGATGTACAAATGCATTTGTACTCCGTCTAACTAATGAGGTGCCACTACACAGGTCATCTCCCCTTTCCCAAGGAATACTTCTCCCAGCAAGTGGCAGTAACTCCCAGACACCGGAGGAGCCCCAAATCAGAACACATACCTTCCTTCTGTCCTCGTTAGCATTCCTCCCTTTCTCCACATTGTTCCCAAGTAACTGCTGAGTTCTTGTTGCTTTTCTCTCCTGGTTTCCCAGCGCACACCGTCGCTGCCTTGGATTGGCTTTTATTTATTTTGGGCTAGTCTTCAAGTTTCTTTCCTTTCTAATTAACCACCCAGATGGAGACCACCAGAATCTTTCTAAAACCTCAATCTAGGCGTGCCACAGGTTGGCTTAATCATTTCAGTGGCTCCCTACCAATGTTTGTTGGGGTGACTCCCACAGTCCCTGCCCCGCCAGCAGGCTGTCCCTCTCTCCCCACAGTCTGGGTTCCCAGGCTCCATTCCTGTGAGCTGCTGCCTTCTACCTGCGCTCCGGGGACTCGCTCATCTGTGTAATGCACCTGCAGCCCCTTGCTCCACACGGTGGCAGCACTCGCCGTGCTCTGTTGGAATCACCGTTTCTCTGCCGTCTTCCTCTCTAGACGGTGAATCCATGAAGAAAAGGGCCACGTTTTGTTCAGCTCTATATTTTCTAGTATAATATAGTACCCTATATTCTAGGAGAGTGCCTAGAATGTCATGTGGGTTCAGCCAACGCTTGTCCACTGATGAACCAACTTGGGAGAGCTTTATGTATATGTGTGTGTGAGTGTGGATCAGAGGGCGTGGGTATGTAAGTGGATGGCAAAATATTAGCTAAAAATTTTCTGAACTTAACCATTTGACAGGAACCCTTTTAAGGTTTGTTGTTTTGTGTTGTTTTTGTACTGGGGTTTGAACCCATGGGGCGTTTAAACACTGAACCAACCGGCTTTTTTAAAAATATTTTATTGTGAAACGGGGTCCCACTGAGTTGCTTAGGGCTTCCCATAGTTGCTGAGGCTGGCTTTAAACTTGTGATCCTCCTGTTTCAGCCTCCAGAGCAACTGGGATTACAGGCATGTGCTACTGTGCCTGGCGGCCTTTTAAGGGTTTTATATTACATATGTTTTCTAATTTAATCCTCCCCAAAGTACAAATTCTGTACCAGTTAACGCTGTTGACAGATAAGAAAATTGAGCCATGGAGATTAAATAAATGACTCCAAGTTTATAATGCTAAGGCACAGAGCTCTAATTTGAATCCATATAGTTTAAGTTCAGACCCTATGCTATGAATTCCATAGTATATTGCCTTTTATGAATATATCATATCAATAAAACAGCATGTTTGTAACTATGATCTTCTATATATATTTCTGTAAATGAAAGTGTCTAGAGTGTGTGTGTGTGTGTGAATGTGTGTGTGTGTATTCTGACATTCAGTGGGACTCAACATGTTGTGTCTACCAATAAGAATGATTAAGAACTAGAGCATGGTAGTGCACACCTCTAATCCCAGGGACTTAGGAGGCTGAGGCAGGAGGATTGTGAGTTCAAAGCCAGCCTCAGCAACTTACCAAGACCCTAAGCAACTTTGTGAGATCCTGTCTCCAAAAATAAGAAGGGCTGGGAGCATGGCTCAGTGGTTAACCACCCTGGGTTCAATCCCTGGCACCAAAAAACAAAACAAAAACAAGAACCTACTAGCTGCCTAGTAATATTAAATGCTAGGATGAAAAAATATTCAAAAGCGGTCATATGCCAGTTCCCACAGAGCAGTGTAACTTCAGACGAAAAGACATACAGCCATCAGAGAGTAGACATAAGAAGAGTGCTCTTAGAAATGAGTACCAGGCACCAGGAGACTTGGGGCAGGGGTGGGGGAGATGAGGATGTAGAGAAGGGAGCATCTCAGAGTAGACTCATGGCTTTCTGTTCTGAGCCACACACGTAACCAACTCCTTATTTTTCTGCCCCAGGGATGATGAGGCAAAGGTAGAACCTAGAACCACCTGTACCCATTTCAATCATCCTGTAATAAAAGTGCTGACTTATATTAATTTCAGAATCAGTCTCAGTTCTAGAGGTGGCGTTTGATGTCCAAATGTAGCCTTCTCCACTTGGCGTGCCTGAGATGATGCTTTTCAAAACCTTTTCATGCCAGGCCGAGGTATCTCTTGAACTGAAATTTGTCCACCGTCCATGTGTATGATCAAGTCTATCAGTGTTTGTCCTGGGATCCCATCTGTTTTGATAGGGCGTTTGGACTGTAGCAGGATGCCAGTGGAAGTGTCAGGGATGTCTTCAGAGGCACGTGGAGATGGGAGCAGAAATGGAGGCTGAAAATACAAAAGACAGTGTGGCCCCCGATCTGCCTGATTCATCCCCCACTAGAACATGTGAAGAGGGAAGCCGTGGGAAAGGAGCTTAGGTGGAGCTGGTGAAGCCAACCAGCCCAGGTTCTCCTGCCTTACAAAGACTTCTTTCTCTGAATAGGTCCAACTTCTTATTTATTTATTTATTTGTTTATTTATTTATTTATTTTCTCAGATTTATCAGCTTATGCATTATTAGAAATTACATAATTTTAAATATTAAATGGCACATACAGGCCTGTAACTGCAAACACAAAGATGGGTAGGTCCAACTTCTTGTAAGGGGTTCAGGGGATTGAAATGGAACCAGTGTTCAGTAGCACTAGCACCCTTCCTAGGTGGCGCTGGTTGAGATTCCTGTAGTCCACGGTTAGAATCTGAAGAGTGAGCCTATATCTGTGTACAAGGAGAAGTCAAGTGCAAGCCCTTGAGTACCCAGGAGGAACCTAAAACAGGAGTCCATTTTGCCCCAGAGTTGGTGGAGATGGTGGGAGCCGGTCTGAGGACCTCAGAACCCCATCTCAGGGGCTATCCTTTCAACATTTTCACTTTCTTCCTGCTGCCCATCTGTGCCCTCTCCTGCTCTCAACCCAGGGAACCTCGCCTCACCAGGGGAAGGCACAACCTTGCTTTTACACTAAGATTTCTTTCTTTCTTTCTTTCTTTTTGGTTCGGATCTACATTTAAGCTTGGAGCAGGGTGAGGGTGGATTCCCCAGCTCTGCCTGAAGAGTCCAGGGACCTGGCAGGAAGCTTACATAAGTGGTCCCAGGGAGCTAAGTCCATTTCTCAATTTTGTTCTTCTATCCCATTCTGATAGAGACATGAGTGCAAGAAGGGTTCTATTTTTTTCTTTACTATAAGCAACACACACACACATACACACACCAAAACTATCACTCAGGGGACTATTTTTGAGAATACAAAAGTTGCTGGGCACAGTGGGGCATGCCTGAGGCACAGGATCACAAATTCAAAGCCAGCCTTAGCAACTTAGTGAGGCCCTAAGCAACTCAGCGAGACCCTGTTTCAAACGTAAAAAATTTTAAAAAGGGTTGGGGTGGGGATGTGGCTCAGTGGTAAAGTGCCTCTGAGTACAATCCCAGTACCAAAAAACACAATAAGTAGAGCCTGAGATTTAGATCACACATACCCTGTACATAACAAAAGGGTCCAGTTGTCTGATTTTCAAATATTTTTCAGAGAATACTGTAAAGGAATTATTCATTTTAAAGGCAACTCATTCTGATTTTCCTAAAGCTGATATGGACTATTATTTTGAGGAACAAAAAAAAAAAAAAAAACAAAGGAAAAAAATCCAGTTAGTGTTTATTTGTTTCCCTTTTAGCATAGCGGAGATTGGAATTCTCTCCAGTTGCTATGACAACTACACACTCACACTCCCTGCCACGGAAGCCTTGGCTTTCTTAGTGTTAGAAACCAGGCGCTAAGAACTGGCCCATCATGAGCTGGGTTAGATCTGACTCCCTGAGACTCCCATTTAGCAAGCACAGTAAGCATATTGGAAGGTGCCATGGGCACATCTGTGACTGGACACAAACTAGACAAGACATGTCATTCAGATGTCCCCCTGTACTGTGGCTTCAGACTGAATGACAGGATAGTCTTATTCTTCTGATTAATTCACATTAATAAAATGAACAAAGATTTGGCTACCAAATTTTACAAAATATATGCATTTTGAAAAAAATCAAACATGACCCCAATGATCCTTCTTTCCTAAATCTATTGAGGTATCGTTGACACATAGTAAGCTGCATATATTTAAAGTACACTGCGTGCTGGAGGAGGGGAGGCTCTGTCTCCATACACGCTCTACCATTCACGCTGTCTACAACAGCGTGGAATTTAGAATTGTCATGTTAGTTGTAAAACAAGGCAATGCAAAATTTCCTGATTAATGGTGGTTTCCCTTCACCTCAACCCCAAACTGCTTGTCATTTCAGACCAAAAAGGGGGACTGTGCAGCATCAGTGAAGATTGCCATCGACATAGGGTATCGGCACTTTGATGGGGCCCACCTCTACCAAAATGAGAATGAAGTGGGAGACGCCATCAGTGAGAAGATAGCAGAAGGGAAGGTGAAGAGGGAGGATATTTTCTACTGTGGAAAGGTGAGATCTTGCATTCACCCTCCATCTCCATTTGCATTCATGGCGCCTCTTCTCTTGGCTAAAGAAAGTTGGACTTCTCAAGACCTATCTCTCCTCCTCAACTGTCAGATCTCAATCGTCCCAAGAATTTAGAGGACTGATTCCCCCTGCAGGTTAGGGAGAGGATCCTTGTTCATACATAGGCACTGATTTTAGGCAACTTTGAGAAAAGCCTGCTTTTTCTTTTGCACGTGACTATTTGTGCATCTATTGCTATTTTTTAGATTGAGATACAATTCACTGACCATAAAGTCTCTCCTTTAAATCAGGTCTTTGGTTGTACAGCCATCACCTAATTCCAGAACATTTTTTTTTTCACTCCAAGAAGAAACCCTCTGCCCATTAGCGGTCATTTCCCATTTATTCCTCCTGCCTAGTCACTAGCAACCATTGAAGTACTCTCCATCTCTATAGGCTTCATATGGTGGACACTTCTCAGAAACAGAATCACACAATCTGTGGTCTTTCGTGCCTAGTTTCTTTCAGTTAGTATAATGTTTCCAAGGTTCACGCATATGAGACTGAAAATGTGCACACCTTATAACTTAACAATTCCTCCCCAGTACATATTCCATAGAGCTTTTGTCTTATATGACTAATACCATTTGTAAGGGTGCCCACAGCCCTGCTGTTTATGATAGCCCCAACTTAGAAAGAACCCAAAGGCCCACCAAGAATACAAGAGGCAAATGAATTGGGATATATTCAAGCCCAGTACATAAGTAATGATGAATGAAGTCCAGCTAGAAGCACCAATAGGGTGGATGTGAATTTTGACAACCTGATAGGGGGAAAAGCAAGTTCTCAGTAGAATTCCATTTATACAGAGATAAAAAGGCAAAATTATACATTATTATTTGGAGATACATTCATAGAGAGTGAAACCTATAAAACCACTCAAGGAAAAGATAAACACAAATTTTAAGATGGAATATCCTCTGCATAAGGTCCATAGTGGGCTTCTTAGACAGGAAAGGTTCTATTTCTTGACCTCACAAAAGTGGGGTAATGTCAGATGTTCATTTTATTTTTCAACTGTGTGTGTGTCTGTGTGTGTGTGTAAATAAACTCTTATAAGTACAGTTGGCCCTCCATATCTATATATTCTGAATTTGTGGATTTGACCAACTGTGAATATAAAATATTCAGGAAAAAAAAAATGCATCTGTACCGAACAAATACAGACTGTTTTCTTGTCCTTATTCCCTTAAAAAATACAGTATAATGAATACTTACATAGGACTTTCACTGCATTCAATCTTATAAGTAATTTATTGATTATTTAAAATATACAGGAGGATGTACATAGGTTCTATGCCAGATCCTCAGATTTGGTATTCTTGGTGGGAGAAGGGTGGTCCTGGAACCAATATTCCTCACAGCAACTGAAGGATAACTGTACACTATGTTTAATTAAAATAGTTTGTATTTTTTTTAAGATAAATATAAGATGACATAAAAATCATGCAAAACAGAATTTTTAATATTATTGTAATATTTATTGATTTGGGAGAAGTAGTAGTAGGTAGAATAACATTTTGTGACGAGTAAGAGGGTTAAAAGGAAATACTTGAATAAGTTTAATAGACTAAGAAATTGAATCAATTTTTTAAAGCAATAGATTTTGTTTAATAAAAGCAAACAAATGTCAATCAAAAAATAAGTTCAGGGGCTGGAGATGTAGCTCAGTGGTAGAGTACTTGCCTAGCATGCACAAGGCCTTGGGTTCAAACCCCAGCAACACACACACACACACACACAAGTTCTTAAGGTCACAAATACAAAAGCTAGCTGTGTAAACACCTGGGGCAGGTGTACCACATAATCCTTTAGCTTAACCTACTTTATAGCTATTTCTCACTATGATGGGTGCTGAAAGTAACATATAAGAAGGAAGGGGTCAAATTATCTTTCAAAATCCTTTAAACTGCCCTCAAGTACAGTTGTGCATGTAACTGGATATTTGTACATGCACAAATATCAATAATGTGCTGAATATCATAAAGTACACATAAGAACATATGATCGGGCCCCCTCCCCCTGCACCTGCAAGGTAGAGGGAACTGTGACCACGCACAGAGCAGGCCCAGCGGCCTGCTGAGGGGCAGAGCTGCCCCCCACCCCCCGCGCCTGCCAGGTAGGTGGAACTGTGACCACAGACAGAAAAGGCCCAGTGGCCCGCGGCGGGACAGAGCTTCCAATCACTCCTGCAAGGTAGGCGGGCCTGCGACCCACCGGCAGAAGAGGAGCAGCGGCCTGCTGAGAGGCAGAGCCGCCCCCTCCCCCTGCACCGGCAAGGTAGAGGGAACTGTGACCACGCACATAGCAGGCCCAGCGGCCTGCTGAGGGGCAGAGCCGCCCCCCACCCCCCGCGCCTCCCAGGTAGGTGGAACGGTGACCACCGACAGAAAAGGCCCAGGGGCCCGCAGCGGGACAGAGCTTCCAATCACTCCTGCAAGGTAGGCGGGCCTGCGACCCACCGGCAGAAGAGGAGCAGTGGCCTGCTGAGAGGCAGAACCGCCCCCTCCCCCTGCGCCGGCAAGGTAGAGGGAACTGTGACCACCATCAGAACAGGCCAGACCTGCAACCGAGAGACAGAACAGGCCCAGTGGCCTGAGGAAGGGTAGAGCCGCCCCCCCCTGCGCCTGCAAGGTAGGCGGACCTGCGACCCACTGGCAGTACAGCCCCAGAGGCCTGCAGAGGGGCAGTGCCGCTGCCTGCGCCTGCAAAGTAGACAGAACTGTGACCACCGACAGAACAAGCCTAGCGGCCCGCAGAGGGACAGAGCCGCCGCCCGCGCCTGCGAGGAAGACTTTGCAACTATACAAGATCAATATAAATATATAGGGGGAAAATTCAATAGCACAACAGTTTCACCAAGTAGAAAGGAACGCGAAAAGTATGAAGAGACAAGGAAAGAAAGGACCAGAAGCATTGCAGGTCAACTCAACGTTAGAAGAGGTAATAGCTGCAGCAGATGGAATGTCAGATAAAGAATTCAGGATATACATGCTTCAGATGATCTGGAGTCTCAAGGAAGACATCAGACAGCAAAATCAGACAATGAAAGATCACTTCAACAATGAATTACATAAACAAATCCAAGAAGCAAAAGATCAACTATACAGGGAAATAGAGGTTATAAAAAACAAACAAACAGAAATCCTAGAAATGCAGGAAGCAATAAGCCAACTTAAAAACTCAATTGAGAATACTACCAGCAGAGTAGAACACTTAGAAGACAGAACATCAGACAATGAAGATAAAGTATTTCAACTCGAAAAGAACATAGACAGCTCAGCAAGACTGTTAAGAAACCATGAGCAGAACATCCAAGAAATATGGGATAACATCAAGAGACCAAATTTAAGAGTCATTGGGATACAGGAAGGGACAGAGTTTCAAACCAAAGGAATGAGCAATCTATTCAATGAAATAATACGAGAAAACTTCCCAGACTTGAAGAATGAGACAGAACCCCAAATCCTAGAAGCCTACAGGACGCCGAATGTGCAAAATCATAAGAGACCCACACCTAGACACATTATAATGAAGATGCCCAACATACAGAATAAGGAGAGAATTTTAAAAGCTACAAGAGAAAGGAAGCAGATCACATTTAGGGGTAAGCCAATCAGGATAACAGCTGATCTTTCAACACAGACTCTGAAAGCTAGAAGATCCTGGAATAACATATTTCAAACACTGAAAGAAAATGGGTTCCAACCAAGAATTGTGTTTCCAGCGAAATTAAGCTTCAGGATGGAAGATGAAATTAAAACCTTCCACGATAAACAAAAGTTAAAAGAATTTGCAGCTAGAAAACCATCTCTTCAAAACATCCTTGGCAAAACATTACAGGAAGAGGAAATGGAAAATAACAATGAAAACCAACAGTGGGAGGTAGGACACTAAAGGGGGGAAAATAATCAAAGAGGAAAACAAACCATGTTTAGTAACAGAAATAAACAAATATGGCTGGAAGAACAACCCATATCTCAATAATAACCCTAAATGTTAATGGCTTAAACTCACCAATCAAGAGACACAGGCTAGTAGAATGGATCACAAAACAAGACCCAACAATATGCTGCCTACAGGAGACGCATTTGATAGGAAAAGACATACATAGGCTGAAGGTGAAAGGTTGGGAAAAATCATATCACTCATATGGACTTCGGAAACAAGCAGGAGTATCCATACTCATATCAAATAAAATAGATTTCAAGCCAAAGTTAATCAAAAGGGATAAAGAGGGACACTACATACTGCTCAAGGGAACCATACACCAACAAGACATAACAATCATAAATATATATGCCCCAAACAATGGTGCAGCTATGTTCATCAAACAAACTCTTCTCAAGTTCAAGAGTCTAATAGACCACCATACAATAATCATGGGAGACTTCAACACACCTCTATCACCACTGGACAGATCTTCCAAACAAAAGTTGAATAAGGAAACTATAGAACTCAATAACACAATTAATAACCTAGACTTAATTGACATATATAGAATATACCACCCAACATCAAGCAGTTACACTTTTTTCTCAGCAGCACATGGATCCTTCTCAAAAATAGATCATATATTATGTCACAGGGCAACTCTTAGACAATATAAAGGAGTAGAGATAATACCATGCATCCTATCTGATCATAATGGAATGGAACTGAAAATCAACGATAAAAGAAGGAAGGGAAAAGAATACATCACTTGGAGAATGAACAATAGGTTACTGAATGATCAATGGGTTATAGAAGACATCAAGGAAGAAATTAAAAAATTCTTAGAGATTAATGAAAACACAGACACAACATATCGGAATCTATGGGACACATTGAAAGCAGTTCTAAGAGGAAAATTCATTGCTTGGAGTTCATTCCTTAAAAAAAGAAAAAACCAACAAATAAATGATCTCATACTTCATCTCAAAATCCTAGAAAAAGAAGAGCAAAACAACAGCAAAAGAAGTAGAAGGCAAGAAATAATTAAAATCAGAGCTGAAATTAATGAAATCGAAACAAAAGAAACAATTGAAAAAATTGACAACACTAAAAGTTGGTTCTTTGAAAAAATAAACAAAATCGACAGACCCTTAGCCATGCTAGCGAAGAGAAGAAGAGAGAGAACTCAAATTACAAACATACGGGATGAAAGAGGCAATATCACAACAGACACTTCAGAAATACAGATGATAATCAAAAATTATTTTGAATCCTTATACTCCAATAAATTAGAAGATAGTGAAGGCATAGATAAATTTCTTAAGTCATATGATCTGCCCAGATTGAGTCAGGAGGATATAGACAACCTAAACAGACCAATATCAATTGAGGAAATAGAAGAAACCATCAAAAGACTACCAACTAAGAAAAGCCCAGGACCGGATGGGTATACAGCAGAGTTTTACAAAACCTTTAAAGAGGAACTAATACCAATACTTTTCAAGCTACTTCGGGAAATAGAAAAAGAGGGAGAACTTCCAAATTCATTCTACGAGGCCAACATCACCCTGATACCTAAACCAGACAAAGACACTTCAAAGAAAGAAAACTACAGACCAATATCTCTAATGAACCTAGATGCAAAAATCCTCAATAAAATTCTGGCCACTCGGATACAAAAACTTATCAAAAAAATTGTGCACCATGATCAAGTAGGATTCATCCCTGGGATGCAAGGCTGGTTCAATATACGGAAATCAATAAATGTTATTCACCACATCAATAGACTTAAAAATAAGAATCATATGATCATCTCGATAGATGCAGAAAAAGCATTTGACAAAGTACAGCATCCCTTTTTGTTCAAAACTCTAGAAAAACTAGGGATAACAGGAACATACCTCAATATTGTAAAAGCAATCTATGCTAAGCCTCAGGCTAGCATCATTCTGAATGGAGAAAAATTGAAGGCATTCCCTCTAAAATCTGGAACAAGACAGGGATGCCCTCTCTCACCACTTCTGTTCAACATAGTTCTTGAAACACTGGCCAGAGCAATTAGACAGACGAAAGAAATTAAAGGCATCAAAATAGGAAAAGAAGAACTTAAATTATCACTATTTGCAGATGACATGATTCTATACCTAGCAGACCCAAAAGGGTCTACAAAGAAACTATTAGAGCTAATAAATGAATTCAGCAAAGTGGCAGGATATAAAATCAACACGCATAAATCAAAGGCATTCCTGTATATCAGCGACAAATCCTCTGAAATAGAAATGAGGACAACCACTCCATTCACAATATCTTCAAAAAAAATAAAATACTTGGGAATCAACCTAACAAAAGAGGTGAAAGACTTATACAATGAAAACTACAGAACCCTAAAGAGAGAAATAGAAGAAGATCTTAGAAGATGGAAAAATATACCCTGTTCATGGATAGGCAGAACTAACATCATCAAAATGGCGATATTACCAAAAGTTCTCTATAGGTTTAATGCAATGCCAATCAAAATCCCAACGGCATTTCTTGTAGAAATAGAGAAAGCAATCATGAAATTCATATGGAAAAACAAAAGACCCAGAATAGCAAAAACAATGCTAAGCAGGAAGTGTGAATCAGGCGGTATAGCGATACCAGACTTCAAACTATACTACAGAGCAATAGTAACAAAAACAGCATGGTACTGGTACCAAAACAGGTGGGTGGACCAATGGTACAGAATAGAGGACACAGAAACCAATCCACAAAACTAAAACTATCTTATATTTGATAAAGGGGCTAAAAGCATGCAATGGAGGAAGGATAGCATCTTCAACAAATGGTGCTGGGAAAACTGGAAATCCATATGCAACAAAATGAAACTGAATCCCTTTCTCTCGCCATGCACAAAAGTGAATTCAAAATGGATCAAGGAGCTTGATATCAAATCAGAGACACGCCGTCTGATAGAAGAAAAAGTTGGCTACGATCTACATACTGTGGGGTTGGGCTCCAAATTCCTCAATAGGACACCCATAGCACAAAAGTTAATAACTAGAATCAACAAATGGGACTTACTCAAACTAAAAAGTTTTTTCTCAGCAAAAGATACAATAAGAGAGGTAAATAGAGAGCCTACATCCTGGGAACAAATCTTTACTCCTCACACTTCAGATAGAGCCCTAATATCCAGAGTATACAAAGAACTCAAAAAATTAGACAATAAGAGAACAAACAACCCAATCAACAAATGGGCCAAGGACCTGAACAGACACTTCTCAGAGGAGGACATACAGTCAATCAACAAGTACATGAAAAAATGCTCACCATCTCTAGCAGTCAGAGAAATGCAAATCAAAACCACCCTAAGATACCATCTCACTCCAGTTAGATTGGCAGCCATTATGAAGTCAAACAACAACAAGTGCTGGCGAGGATGTGGGGAAAAGGGTACACTTGTACATTGCTGGTGGGACTGCAAATTGGTGCAGCCAATTTGGAAAGCAGTATGGAGATTTCTTGGAAAGCTGGGAATGGAGCCACCATTTGACCCAGCTATTCCCCTTCTCGGTCTATTCCCTAAAGATCTAAAAAGAGCATGCTACAGGGACACTGCTACATCGATGTTCATAGCAGCACAATTCACAATAGCTAGACTGTGGAACCAACCTAGATGCCCTTCAATGGATGAATGGATAAAAAAAATGTGGCATTTATACACAATGGAGTATTACTCTGCATTAAAAAAATGACAAAATCATAGAATTTACAGGGAAATGGATGGCATTAGAGCAGATTATGCTAAGTGAAGCTAGCCAATCCCTAAAAAACAAATGCCAAATGTCTTCTTTGATATAAGGAGAGTAACTAAGAACAGAGTAGGGTCGAAGAGCATGAGAAAAAGATTAACATAAAACAGGGATGAGAGGTGGGAGGGAAAGGGAGAGAGAAGGGAAAATGCATGGAAATGGAAGGAGACCCTCAGAGTTATACAAAAGTACATACAAGAGGAAGTGAGGGGAAGGGGAAAAATAATATAAGGGGGACAAACGAATGTCAGTAGAGGGAGCAGAGAGAGAAGAGGGGAGGGGAGGGGAGGGGAGGGGAGGGGAGGGGGGATAGTAGAGGATAGGAAAGGCAGCAGAATACAACAGACACTAGTATGGCAATATGTAAATCAATGGATGTGTAACTGATGTGATTCTGCAATCTGTATATGGGGTAAAAATGGGAGCTCATAACCCACTTGAATCAAATTGTGAAATATGATATATCAAGAACTATGTAATGTTTTGAACAGCCAACAATAAAAAATTAAAAAAAAAAAAAAAAAGAACATATGATCGTAAGTAAACCAGAAAGGGTGTGTGTACCTGAGTTCACATCACAGCACAGGCTATGCCCCATAGGATCAGCTTTCACTGTGGCTCCACCCATGCCTGAGAGGCAGTGGGACAATGGTTAAGTGCACAGACCTTGGAGCCAGATTGGCTGTCAGAGTGCAAAACAATGTATACAACTGCTCGCCCCAGATTCCCTGCTAGCTGTGAGCTACTTGGCGTTGGTTACCATCTCTGTAAAATGGAGAAAATGATGTCAGCCACTTCATAAAGTTGTTAAGACTTAACATTTATAAAGCACTTAAACAGTATCTGGCATGAATCTAATACTATAAGTGTGTTGATTAAAAGCAAGTTAAAATATAAAACAGGATTTTTCCCTCGGATAGGTTGGCAGCAATAACAGTGAAGGGACCCACAATAATAACTAAAACACTTTTTCCCACTATTCTCTCCGCATCGTGTTTTCTTCTCTATGGTTTTAGGGCAGGAAAAAAAATCATTGTCCAACACAGCAGCAAAAATTCAGATTTTACCAATTTTGCTTGTCTTCTTGTGACAAAAGAGTACAAAAAGTCAAACCTTTTTTACCTTAAAAACAAAATCTTTGCGTAAGATTGATGCTGTGAGATGATGTATTATTTTTCCTGTGAGTCTGAGTACTCCTTGTCACTCAGATTTACATACCTAAGGGTATACATGCTGTGACAAACCAAACCTTCATTATGTAATGTTTTAGAAATGGAGTAAATTCTTGTAGAAATTGGGAGAATTCCCTGGGTCTATAAGAACAAAGCAGAACAAAAGAGCAAGGAAGAATCAAAAGTCGTGCAATAAATTTTGCCAGGTTTCTGTACCACCTATCACAAAGCAAAGGATCCCCTGAAGCCATGCGCATAATTATTTTCTTTACTCGTTTGAAGGACACATTGTATCAAAATGGCATTAAAAAAAATGTGCCAGCCTAATTCACAACATCTAGCTAGATACATGTTCTCTGGTTACACAGTGAAGAAGAGTGAAAGCAACATGGATCAGTTAGGAAATTAGCACAGGGTGACCAAAAGGCTTTGTCATATAATTGGGTTCTTTGCAGCCAGGTATGTCTTTAAGTGTCGTATACCATGTTCAGATAGAGTGATGCTCTGGTGTCAAAAGAGTGTTTCCCGCTCATCCGACACTCAGTTAACATTGCATAGCCCTATTTTTGTGAAATGAGTGAATGGAATGTGCATGAATGCTTTGCAAAAAAAATAGAAAGTTGCATTAATGTGGAAACAGCATGGACATTAATTCTCTCCCCTTGATTCTTTCAGCTGTGGGCTACAAATCATGTCCCAGAGATGGTCCGCCCAGCCCTGGAGAGGACACTCAAGTCCCTGAAACTGGATTATGTGGATCTTTACATCATTGAAGTACCCATGGCCTTTAAGGTGAGTTCAGATGCCTAAAGGTTAGGCCTGCACTCAGTGACCATGAGCCCACAGCTGTGTGCATGGGCCTTGTTCATTATCTAGCACCACAGAATGTTACGATGTTTTGTTTCCATAGATCAGAGTACTAACCTTCCCTGTCAAATGCCCAGAAAGGTTAATTTCACAGACTTGGGTCTGAACCCCAAGTTTATTGATTCTTAACTCAATGTGGTTTCTATTATACCATGTTTTTACAACAATAAATTCTTTCCATATTGGTCTCTGGCTCAAAACAATACAGAAGAGGAAAGCACAGATAATATGTTTTTGTTTTTTTTTGCATTCAATTTGCATCTCATTAGATGGTGCATGTCTGTTTGACAGGACAGCTGTGGCCTAAGGTCTTGCTTTCAGAGAGACCTTGAGAACTATTCTTCTCCCAAGGCCCTACTGAAAGCCAGTTTACCATATACCAGTTACCCTAACACCAGCCCACTGCATCTTGGGCTGATCTCATCACCTGCACAAGTCTGGAGAGACAGAACATTCACACAAGTGAAGCAGCTTTATTAGTCACAGATAAGCATCAAGGGACAACAGAAGCCTGGAATTCATGACAAGCTGGTTCCCCAAGGCTAAGGAAAGCTGCCCAGAGCAGATGGAGACTCATTTACAAATGCCTGTAACTCCACAGCTGAGAGATTCCAAAAGGTGGGTTTTATAGCCCAGGGGAACATGCCTGCTGGGCAAGAGCACTGCAGGAAACCCTGTTCTATGAGGGAGAGGAATAGGGACCAGGCTCTTCTGGACAGTTCCTCTTTTTCTCAGGATACTGCATTCCCAGTCCATCCAACAGCTATTCTAGAGAACTACAAGCAAAAAAGCCGGGGGGTGGGGGTGTGGGGGGGTGTGTGGGGGGTGTGGGGGGTGTGGGGGGGTGTCAGCCAAGGTCGTCCAGTGACCATTCTTGCACCAATTTTATTTCCCACTCAATTTCCTTTCTGACTGCCTTGGCTGACACTGACTTCCCTAACTCTGTGAGACTCAGATACCACCCTTTGCCATCTTGGGCTGCATCCAGAAGCAAGAAGAACCCACTTTTGTAAAACATCATAAAGTCACCATTTTAAATGAGGAAGTTGAGCCAAAAACCATAGAATGAGAGGGGAGGGAATAGGGATGGTAGAACACAAAGGTCACAGATGTCTACTGTACTCATTAATTAGAGGTCATTTGTGACAAATGATAAGGATCATGGGCTCCAGAGCCAGGCTGCCTCTTCTGAATCCGTCTCAGTCCCATAGGAGCCAGATGGCTTGGTTGAGTCATACCTAATCTCCTTCCCACATCACCTAAATATGGTGTAGTGGAAAGAATATGGGCTTTGGAGTCACCCAAACTTTTTGGCTTTATTACTCCCTAGAAGAATCACTCTTAACTTTCTGAACTTCAATTCTATTGTCAATTGTCACTCTTGACTTTTGACTTTATTACTCCCTAGAAGAGTCACTCTTTCTGAACTTCAATTCCATTGTCAATTGCGTGAAAACAATAATAGCTAATTTGTGTCTACTTCGGGGAGTCACTAAAAGGCCAAGTTCGGAGGTACTGACACAATGCCTGGCATTGAAGAGATAATAAAATAAAAGATGCTATTATGAAATATTTGGGTGGAAAGGATGCTTAGCAATTATACATATTAATAATCTCATTTCAAAAAAGAGAAAGCTGAGCCTCAAAATCTTGAAGTCAGTTACTCATGTTCCAAGTTCATCAGATTTAGGGGTCAGACCCTGGGTCACATGACGTGTGGTCAATGCCATGCTCATCTTTACACTCCACTGTCCCTTCTGACTTCTCCTCTTGAGCCTAACACCCAAGGACAGCAGTGGTTTCTTGGTATCATGATCTCAACTCTCATCTCACTCAGTTATTGTTGACTCTTGTTCAAATGGTAGATTTTTTTCTAAATCTGAGTCTTAAAATTTGGGGGAGAACCTGTATTTAAAAGTGATAAGATGAAGTTTAGCTGGGTGCAGTGGCACTTATCTGTAATCCCAGTCATCCAGGATGCTGAGTCAGGAGGCCAGAGAGTTCAAAGCCAGCCTTGGCAACTCAGCAAGGCCGCAAGCAACTTAGGGAAACCTGTCAAAAAAAAATAAAAAATAAATAAAAAGGGCTGGGAATGTGGCTCAGTGGTTGAATGTCCTTGGGTTCAACCTGTGGTACCCCCCCCCCAAAAAAAAAGTTTACCTGTCTATGGACGAAATAACTTTTTTAAGTCTTTTTTGGAGAAAGCAAATAGAAAACTTCTATTTGTACTCTTGAAAGGATCAAAGCTCAGCGAGATCAAACTAACAGTAAGAATTGACACAATATAATGATACCTCCCAACTGGGCCTATAATTGGGAAATGAATATTTAAAGCTAAAACATCATAAGCTTTTTAATCTCATAATTTTTTAAGTGAAAAAAATCTTTTTTGTCAAAAATCTCAGTGTTTTTTGAAAGTGACAAGTTGATAAGCAGACATGATTTCAGAGCAACAAAATAGAAAAAAAATTAGAAGACATTTTTAAAAGATGAATGAACAGAAATAAGAGTAAGTAGCATGGATTTTTGGAGGGCTGAATTAATCTTCCAATACTGCCTGACAGTGTAGGAAAGAGAAAAACCAACTTCTCAGGATAAAGCAGACATGGTGGAAGTTCAAGGGGACACGTGGAAATACCTAACGTGGGTTAGGGTGGCTTGATAGTAGCATCTGGGGAAGAAAAAAAATCATGTAACAGAACTTGTGAAGGAGGAATAAGGTCATTTCAGAAGATGAGTAAAATGATAAAATGCAAAAGGCAAAAAATATGGAGGAAGAGTGGAGTAGAAATTTGGGTCATAGATGTTGAGAAAATCTGAGAGCTTAGAAATCAGAGATGAAAAATAATTAATGTGAATAATTATTCACATTAATAAGAGAGAAAGGAGAAAGGAGACTTGTTCTTCCTTTCAATGAGACAGGAAGAAACAGGAGAAATTCTCTTTGCTAAGAGAACAATGTGGAAAGTTATTATTAAGGGAAAGTTGAGTTTTGTGAAAGTAAGATGATAGAGGAAAAAATGAGAAAAATATTTAAGAATAAAATGGGTATTGTCCAATTACTGCATTCCCTTCTCAGTCTGTTTTGTGCTAACAGAACACTCAACACTGCATCATTTATAGAGAACAGATATTTACTGTCTCCTAGTTCTGGAAGCTGGGAGATCTATTATCAAGGCATCTGAAAAGAGCTTTCTTGCTGTCAATGCATGGCAGAGGTGGAAGAGGAAAGACTGCAAGAGAACAAACTCACTCTTATACGTCCTTTTTATAATGGCACCTGGCTATACTCCTAACCACTTGTCATTGGTCCCCATCTCCCAGCACTGTTGCAATGGGTATTAAGCTTTCAACACATAAATTCTGGTAGACATATTCAAATGGTAACAGCTCCCTACAAGATATTTCTATCAAAGTCAGCAAAGGTGTCTATCCTGCCAAACCCAACAGACACTTTGTCCTCGTTGATCAACTGTGTTGATCTCTTTCAACACAGTTGTGTGTTCATCTCCCTCTTTAAATATTTTCCTCTTTCAGCTTGTATGATAATACATTCTCATGATTCTTTGACAGCTACCCTCTGCCAACCTTCAAATGTTGTTATGCCCACTGCTCTTTCTGCCATAGTCTTGTCTTACTGGCCTCACTCTCTTCCCAGGACCAACAGTGTTTAGCTTCCAAGGTTAGATGAGGTTCTATATGCTCAGGGTAGAAATGGATAGGACCTAAGCCTACTATCTTTGTAAATTGATTCCACCCACTCACACAGCCTTAAGACCATTTTACAGGCTGATGAATCCCAAATTTAATCTGTAACCATGATCTCTTTCTGAACCCTAGGCTTCTCTGTTCAACTGTCTTTCCAAATACCCCCTTGAATGTCAAACAGAGACTAAGGGTGTAATTCAGTGGTAGAGCTTTTGCCTAGCAGGCATCCCTAAATTCAATCCACAGTGCTACAGGAAAAGAATAAACAGATTGGTCAAAACATCCAAAATATTTCTGGGTGTGGTAGTTCATGCCTGTAATCCCAGCAACTCAGGAGGCTGAGGCAGGAAGATTGTAAGTTTGAGACCATCCTGGGCAACCTAGCAAGGCTCTAAGCAACTTAATGAGATCCTGTTTCAAAAAATTAAAAAAGGGCTGGGGGTGTAGTTGAGGAGCTTGGTGCTAGATCATCCCTGGGTTCAATCCCCAGTATTGGAGAAAAAAAAGAACACTCTTGAATCTTGGCCCCAACCTCAGGAAATGATTACTACCATTCAGCTAAGCAGCTTAGGAATTATCCTTGTTTTCTTTCTGTCCCTTACTGCCACCACTTCATCTCATTTCCAAGCCAACATTAAAGGTATTGGCCCCACTCCTAGTTCATATGTTAATCTCTTCTCTTATTTTCATCTCTACTGCTCTGGCTCCAGTCCAGAGTCAGACCCTGAAATGAGGAGGTACATGAGAGTGAGTTATTATGATCTGCAACTGGGGAACACCCATAGGGAAGTGAGGAAATGTGACTGGGGTAAAAGGAGTCAAGCAGAGGTGTGACAGAAAAAGTCCTCCAGAAAGCAACTTTGACTCAAGGTCCTGGGAACCTCTAGCCAGAGTTAGTCACATCTCAGAATCTCTTGATTGAGGAACAGCAATACTTTTACCTCTGCAGCTCTAGGTCAAGAGCTGCCCCCGGTGGGTATCAATTCCTGGGCACACCCCATGTGAGGAAGCAAAAACAGGTTCTATCGGTCTGAGGTCTGTCTTCTAACAGACAGATTCAAGCAGGTGCTGGCTGTGGGTAGTGAAAGCAGAGCATATGCAAAAATGGTAAAGGCATCTGAGGGGTACCATCTTAGTCCATGTGGGCTGCTACCACAAAATCCATTCGACTGAAGAATTTACGAACAAGAGAAACTTATTGCTCATAGTTCTGGAAC